CAACGTCAAGCCAGAGAAGAAGGAGGAGATGGAGGAGGAGAAGGAGGAGAAACACCAAACCTTCATGGAGAAATACGAGAAGCAGATCAAACGCTTCGGTGAGCTGCTCTTCAGTGTGTCACGCGTGTAAAAGTCTTTACTAGTGTCGCCATGATACTGTAGTCAGTACCAACACCATCATTCTCTGTACCGTAGCAAAAACTACTGTTTTATTTTAATGTGGTTTTTATGTAACTTTTTGAAAATTAAAATAAATTGAATTAAATTATTAATGCTATTAATAATTGTAAATAAATAACACATTATAACATTAGCATGTAGCCTTCAAATACTCTTCAAATATGTAAAGCTTGCATTAAAAAGATCAAATAAAAGTAAAATAAGAAACACTTTAGCGGAAACAGAACGAGTGGCATGAGATAATAAATTATCTTCAGGAAGAATAAACGAGAGAGCTTTGACCACATTTACACTGCAGCGTTTCAAGACAGACCTCTGCATGCAACACGAGTCGCTCGCAATTCACGCTCACTGCAATCTTCATGACACGTGTGTATAGGGTCCGATCTCTGCCACAATTCTGCGCGCGAAAGATCATATTTTGAGCACACAAAAGTGCATTTTGCACGCACGTGATCTGAGTTTTTTGGAGAAAATGTTCGTTTCACGAAAAAAATATTTGGAGCGGACTAAAGTCAATTTTGCATTTAAAGGAGACATATTATGCCCCTTTTTACAATATGTAATATAAATCTCTGGTGTCCCCAGAATGTGTCTGAAGTTTCAGCTCAAAATACCCCACAGATCATTTATTATATGTGCTCGTCTGTGCAGCCAAACACAGAACAGTTAGCTTGTTTTGCTCAAACTTTCTCCATGGCATTAGAACTAATGCACCGTTGTCACTTGCGAAATCAAAATGATGGTGCCATTGGTGTAAACTTACAGATTAAGGGGTGGTAATATTATAATGAGATCCCTTTGCCACGTCACCAAGGGAGCGAAATCAGACGCTCGTTTTCTCAGACGCTTGCAGAAAAAGGCTTCCCAAAACAAAGTTACTGGGTTAATCTTTTTCACGTTTCCTTGATTGGTAGATGCACCAGGGACCTGATTATAGCACTTAAAACCCGGAAAAGTCAGATTTTCATGATATGTCAACTTTAAAATAAGTTTATGGATGTGTGCAGACCTTCTCTTTTGCGCGTGCAATGTTTCACTAGCTTGCTCCCTTGATGCCAGCCATCAGTGCTCGCTAGATGCCAACAGCTCGCTTGCTCAACACAACCCAGCGTTACAATATGACATAATTCCAGCCAATCAGAGACCAGGCTGCTAAATTCTGATTGGCTGCCTTGACAACCAATCATAACATTTCCTGCATTACCTCGACAGCAGAAGAGGAAAAATACAGTGCATGCATAATTATTATGCAAGTTGATATTTTGATCATATTTTTTCCAAGCACATTTTACCAATTCCAAACGACATCAATATGAATAAGAATTTACATTTTATTAACTTCGGTAGTATTGAATTTTAAGTTGTATTATATATTGCAGTACTAGCCTACTGCAGTTTGCAGTTTGTATGAAAGTACTACTTCAGCTGTATTGCAGTAAGACTGTGGTTCTATTGCAGTTGAACTTTAGTTATATTACAGCTGTACTGCAGTTGTATTTCACAAGTACTTCCAATGTATTGCAGTAAAACACAATTGTACTCCAGTAAAACTGCAATATTTCTACGTAACAAAAACTGCAGTAATCTTTTGTAAGGGTAGGAGGCGATATGTTCACAGGAGGCAATTGCGCTAAAAACCGAGGAATTAGAGGACGTCATTACATCCATCCCAGTAGGTGGCGGAATATGCACCAAAAGCTGGTTTGCCAACCGCCATTAAACATCATCATCATAAGAAGAAGACGTCATTACATGGGAAATGGTGATATGATTGGGGCTTTCGTTTATCTGTGGAAAAGACGTAATATATGTTTCATTAAAAAGCAGGTAAGCCCCATACTAGATATCAAACTGTATGGACAGTCAATCAAGCAAGAAAGGGTCATATGGTATTTAGGGGTATGGTTCGACACTAAACTTACTTTTAAAGTCCATATTCAAAAAATTATAGATAAGTGCAAGAGAGGTATAAATATACTAAAATGTTTATCAGGATATAGGTGGGTGCATCAGGTACATATATGAAACGAATATATATTTAATTCGCTCCAGTTTTGATTATGGGTGCATTCCTTCTCCGTTAATTGAATATTTAAAACCGAGGACAGATTGTAGTATTGGTACTAGGTCTATTATTAGAGGGGACTTTGCCATATAGGCGAACATCTTTTGGACAGAAAGTATTATCTGTAATAGGGAGTAAATATTGGAATAGTTTACCGCAGTCAATAAGACAATATTCTACTTATTAACGTATACCTTTAAAGATCATTTCAAAAACTGGCTTATGACGAATCAGTTGTGTAAACATTTTACTTAGAAATTTTAAAATGTCTTTTATGTGCTGTTGTATGTGTATTTGAGTCTGTGTCCTTGTGTGTACCTGCCTAGGGACTGCGGATGTAAATTAGCAATGTTGCTATAATCCGGCTTGTTTACATTCTGTATGACTACAAATGTTCATTAACATGCATTGTCCCTATCTAATAAATAAACAATAACATAGTGTATAATTCTGCAGCAAAAACTATATTGACAGGGTGCAGAATAAGGCCCTGCGGTTATGTTGTGGAGCTCTCAGAAAGTCACCTGTAGCTTCAGTGCAAGTAGAAGTAGGAGAGATGCCATTGAAGATTAGACGGCTCAAACTAACAATGCCATACTGGACAAATCTGCATGGGCATGATACAACACACCCTGCAAAAAAAGGTACTTAAAGAATGTTGGGAGTATGGCCGTATCAATATTAGTAGCTTTGGATGGAGGGGAGCAATAGAGGCAAAGGAAATGGGAATAGACACTATTGCATGCTGTAAGACAATAAGTATGACTGCCATCCCACCATGGTTATTCTGTTTTCCTATAGTAAATATGGAAATAAAAGACATTTTAAAATCTGGCATATATCAAAATATTCAGCAGTATATAGAAAGCAGGTATGAAGATACAATACAGATATACACAGATGCATCCAAAGATCCAATAACTGGCAAAACAGGTGCAGCTTATTCATCCCACAATACAATATTAACATCCAAAAAAGAATTTCAGATCACCTATCAGTCTTTTCAGCTGAAATAATGGCCATTATTCTAGCACTACAATGGGTAGGACAGCAGAAGAGGAAAAATACAGTGCATGCATAATTATTATGCAAGTTGATATTCTTATTATATTTTTTTCCAAGCACATTTTACCAATTCCAAACAACATCAATTTTAATAACTACTGTTAATCTGTATTTAATCACTTATAGCCTATATAATATTGTTCATGAAGGCTGGAAGTGAAAAACGCCTTATATTCAGGTGTGCATAATTATTAAGCAGGTTATCTTCTACAGATAAAATCTCGAGATGGACTAAAAATGAACTCCCAAAACTTGGTCAAACTTTGACTTCTTGTCAAACAGTGGTACAAGAGGATGTGGTGCTGGTCCTTCAAAGTCACTCTCAACTTATCTGTCCATAAAGTCTATATATATATAAAATCAGTCTTCAAGTATTTTACTAGACTTCTGTATGTGATTCTTATTAAGTAGGGGTAATTTTTTAGGCTTCTATACTTAACCCAAGTCTCTGAAAACCTGACACCTTGTACTTCTGGAGACTCCAGGTAGGTTGCAGTTCTGGAAAATGGTGGCGCTGGAGACTAAATGGTTCCTGGTGATTTCACACCTAATTCTTCACCTTAATTCCTAATTCTTTTGCAGTTAACATGGATCTTTTCTTCTCCACATGTTTTTGACTGACCCTGCTAACCCACTGAGCATTTTGCTGTCCAATGGTTATGCATTAACTTTTCAGTTTCTAGTATTGTATTAGTTTTGAATATTTCTCATGGGCATTTAATAATTTTTGACTTTATGTCTGAGTTAAATCTCTTTTTTGGCTCATTTTATCTGTAAAAGAAAATCTGCTTAATAACTATGCACACCTGAATATAAGACATTTTTCACTTCAGCCTTCAGCCTTCATGAATAATTATATATCAATTATAAATTATTAAATACAAGATTAATAGTAGTTAAAATATGATAACTTGCATAATAATTATGCTAAATATAAATCTGCTGTAATCAGCAATGCAAGGAATGTTAGGAATGTTGGTCAAGGCAGCCAATCAGAATTTAGCAGCCTCGGTCTCTGATTGGCTGGAATTATGGCACATTG